AATTGTACTACTTTAGAGACCAACCATCTCTTGCCATTTTGGCAACATTCTCGTCTTTCGAATTTGATAATTGTTGAAATACTTCAAACGAGTCAGAATTATTCATACTTTTAAGAAAGGAAATTCATGTGTAAATTGATAGGCAAATTGCCACTCCAGCAATAGATAGCTACTAAGGTTATGTTTGGTGGTCCAGATTTGAGTCTGGATAAGATAACAAATTATAATATCTGGTGTTTGGCAATGTCTTTCGGGCCGGATATACCCGGATAAAATGCCGAATAAGAAATCCGGGGGAGGGGATGAGATAAGCCCGGATTTGATAAAAAAATTTTACAAATAACTTAACAAGCGCTATTTTCCAATGAAGGATGCTAATGAATTACTAAAAGATATTGTCACAAGAACTCAGCAGATTTAAAAGGTGTATTTCATGCAAAGCTTACTGGAATTAAAACAGACAAAAATGAGATGCATAGCAAACCCAATGGATTGAAAGGTGCAACAATAGATCATTCAATTCGACCTTTTCCCAAGCAAGTCTCATATTTACAAACAGAAATCCAAGGAAAGAAATATCTTCACATTTAAAGAGGGACGAATTGGAAGACGAGGTACTGCTAAAGGAAGTTACTCAAAAAGTTATCAGCAGCAAGAAAATCAAGAGAAAATAGGTCAAAATAAATCCCCGCAAGCTTTCATTTTCTTCTAAGGACAATTAAGATGAGTGTTGAGATACACGTGTGAGTTGTGTTAGAGAATCCCACATCGGATAATTGATGTGGTGTTAAGCAGTTAATATATCCTAGTTGGCCCATAACTTATTGACTTAAACTTTTAAGTGAAGGTAAGTCCAACTGGATATGTTGATGGGCTCGAACTTGAACTTTCTCTTAGTAATCTCTCCTGGCGAAAGGTATTGAATTTCTATTGCGCATTCCCAATAAAATGTATCAAAGCCGATGGTTGATTGGTGGGCCTCCAACCTATTTCGGTGCTTGGTGAATACCTTAACAAAGAAATCTCATAATCGACGCTTGCTTTAGGTGGAAATTGCCATCACGGTTGGTCTGGCAAGAAGTGACCATGGACAGTTGGCCTAGTGACGTGAAATAAAGACCATGGGCGATGTAATCCCAAGTTAACAATTGATTAATGGTTGTTGTTGGTCTGGCAAGAAGTGACCATGGACAGTTGGTCTAGTGACGTGAAATAAAGACCATGGGCGATGTAATCCCAAGTTAACAATTGATTAATGGTTGTTGTACATAGTTGCCGATGCATTGCAATGACTTGGAGATTCAAGTTAAGATAAGCTGATGTAGAAGAATACTTAAATTAAGGGGGAGCAAACCGAGCTCACACATGAGGGGGAGATTGTTTAAGATACACGTGTGAGTTGTGTTAGAGAATCCCACATCGGATAATTGATGTGGTGTTGAGCAGTTAATATATATTCTAGTTGGCCCATAATTTATTGGCTTAAGTTTTTAAGTGAAGGTGGGTCCAACTGGATATGTTGACTGGCTCGAACTTGAGCTCCCTCTTAGCGATCTTCCCAAGTGAAAGTATCGAGCTTCTACTGCGCATTCCCAACAATGAAAATCAGCACCCAACTAATAGAAATGAAAATTCACCATAAGAGGAAAGATCATCTCCACATGGTTACAATAGATGCCTGTCAACATATTAACCCCGAAAAGATTTGTCAAGAAAAAGATCTCCCGGAGCAACCAACAATAAAGCAAGCCATGTCGGCACGAAGCTATTAACAACAAACCATGTCAGCATGAAGCTATTAATAGCCCAGCTCCAGCAAAAAATAAAGACGAGAGAGAAGGTACTGGGAACACATTCCCAAAAGGTTATGTTGATTGACGAAATAATTCCCAAGTCCAACAGTTCAAAGAACTCGGATGGCGGGCTCCTCACCAAGTCCATTGATTTAAGAAGACTAGGCGGAGCATGAAGCTAGTAATTTTGCGCAAGGAAAAGGAAGATATCTTCAGTTTCAAGAGATTTCATTCGTGGAAGCTTCAAGATGGATCTAGGGTGCATCACTGTTGTTCGAGGAAGCACATCCTGATATCCATGTTATATCCAGACATTTACCGAACATATGATGGGATATTTCATAATTCGAAGGACAATCTGGAGGATTTCTAATCCTCTCTTATCCTATCCTATCACAATCCATGTCCAGACAACCAAACGCAGCCTAATAGGTTTAATTTCTATATTGCTAGGAGATCAGTTTGGTTTAAATTATGTTAGGTAAGTGTTAATGTAATAATCGGACTTTGCCCCTTTGGTAAAAGTCTCATTTTATTATTAGTAACTTTTCAAGAAAGGATACTGACAATTGAGATATGTAAAGTCGTTGACCAAATGCAAAATCATTGATTAGTGTTAAGGCCGTAATTACATTTTCTACCCGAAAATTTAGTGTTAAGCGCATACTTTAATATTTAAAAATTAGCTATTTATTATCAAAGTGGTTTTAGATACTTCTATATGAAATCTATATTGAAAATGAGGATAAAGACATCATCATTTTCAATGGGTTTAATCTTAATAAAATTGCGAAAAAGATTGGGCACACTTGTAAATGGAAGAATATCCACTTAATGGTTGGCCATAATATGACGTTTTCATAAGATTTCATATTAATTTTTCAAATCATTCGTTTTTCGCGAAACAAACGGAGTCTTAGAGTAAATCGAGACTTTGACTTAAGAGAGTTTATACTGCAAAGTGTTTTCGTGGAAAATAAGCAAAGAAATTATTACATGCTTATTATTTGGTAAATCTGCAATTGCAATTATGAACCCCTTTGTTAATTCAACTCCGCATAGGGAAATCAACTCGATAGCTATTTTAAAGTAGAAATGTTATGTTTTTTCCGTTCAAACAATTGAATTCACTTGATTTTTAGTACATTTAAGAATTTTACAATAAGAATTAGAAAAGAAAAAAAAAGTAAAAGGAATGAAGAGTAGACACCAGAAAGAGCAAGGTTGCCTCGCCTTGCCGGTGCGGCACAACTCCAAGCACCACGACATCGAGGGCATGTGACCTTGGGCCAGTCCATGGCAAGGTTGCGAGGCCTTAGGCTATGCATTGTCGGAGTTGAGCAACCCCAAGCGGGACATCTCTTGCCCGGGACTGCTCGACCACCGCTAATGAGGATCGCCAACCTCGATAGTGGCCGCACCGTCGCCAGTCTTGACCACCACTAACGACCTAGGTAGTGGCCGCAATTGCCGCCATCTCTCTCTATCTCTCGTAACAAGAGTTGTAACTTTCAGTGGAGCTACAAAACTACTTTGCACTTGTGAAAGCGATTCCATTCGATTATTGATAGTCCCTCTTCTCAGTCGCGCGTTATACGATCACACAAACTTGTGATTTTTGGGGTGGCTCCAAAAATCCCTTTGACTCTATGAGCCGAACTCGAAGCACCTCACTTGAAGCGAAAGGTTTAAGCATCAAACTAAGTCCTAAACCACAAGTGCTAGTGTTGATCAAAACTAACTACACAATACTGCCGTCCGGCACGGTTTTTATGTCGTAATTTCAGCTGTGAAAATGAACTTTATAGCTTTTCTATGAGGTGCTCGGCAAGCACCTTAGGTTCGCAATAAGTCCATAGATATAGCAATTTTGAAGAAGCTAACCCGCCCAACTTTTAGGTGTTGCAATTATGGAGCAAATGATGCAATCGGTATCCTATTCGAAGGACGCAACGTTATACACATAACCGACAATAACCCGTTTCTGAAACATGTCCATCTATATACCCGATGGATTCGTAAGCCGGTCATAGAAGGGTTATAAAAAGTCTACGAAAACAATATATACATGGCGAGTGATTAAACAAACTAAACCCAACAAACACCATTCATCTCAATTCTCCTGCCGGTGCCACGGCTACCAAAGAAAAAGATGGGACCTACGTCGACAAGATATGATTCTTGGTGAGGGATAATGATACAGATGGTCCGTGAATTTTGACCCAATATGTAACGTGATCCATGAACTTTTAATTTGTTCAATGTGGTCCATAAATTTTTGGTACACGTTCGATGCAGTCCCTAAACTATATGAAAATGTTCAGTGACGCCATTTTATTAATTCGACTTCGAGAATAATATTGAATATTTTTGAATAGTTTAGAAATTAAATGGAGCTCGCGTACCGAAAATTCGGATAAGCCCGGCTCATCACATGGAGCGTTGAACGAGTCGGGGACGCAACCCCGGGATGGGAAAGCAGCAGCAGGTATTGGAGCACGCAAGTCTTGCACACATCACCAAAAGGAGGGGGGAGCGGAACCCACGCGTATTCGCTGGTCTAATCAAGAGACCCCAAAAAGGAGGTCTTCGGGTCAAACCTTTCCCAACTCCATCAACAAGCAACTCCAACCTCTTCCTCTTCTCTTTCTTTCGTGGCGTTTGGCGAAGCAAGGGACGAAAGCGCGTAAGATAATATGTCCTCGTCCCCTCTCCATCGTCGCCGCCCGCCGTCGCCATCACCAGATACAACAAAACCGAGGGGGGGAGGAGGGTGGGGGAAAAACGCGGTTTTGATTTAAGGCGAGGGTCTTCCTCTTTGACACGATCAAGATCAGATTTTTATGTGCGGAGGACGGCGGCTCCATTGACCTTTCCCCCTTGACCGCAACAGCACAGCACAGCACAGCGGGCGCTATTCCATCCACACGCAACGCGAGCTGCGTCTCGTGAGCACACCCGGGTCCGTCGTCGGTGCTGCGGGACTAGATAACGAGAGCGAGAAGAGCGAGAAGAGCAGCTCTTCTTGTTCCAGCAGCCGCAGCTTGCTCGGGGAAGTTTGAGGTTCGAATTCCCGTCCTACCCTCTTCTTCCTTGTTGCTCTGCCGCTGTTTGATCCATCTGGGTGTTGGGTCTTTGCTCTTGTCTTTGCTGATTTTGATCGGTTGAGTGTGAAGGAGGGAGGGGGGGGGGGGTTGTGTGTGTGTGTGTGTGTTGGGTGGGTGGGGAAATTTCGGGTCGCGGAAAGATGGGCGGCCTGATGAGCAGCTTGTCCTCGTCTACCTCGGACTCGGGCAAGGGCCGGAGCAAGTCGTCGAGCGTGCGGGTGTCCCACGGGTTCCACCTGGTGGAGGGCAAGTCCGGGCACGACATGGAGGACTACCACGTCGCCGAGTACAAGAAGCGGAGGGATCACGTCCTCGGCCTGTTCGCCATCTTCGACGGCCACCTCGGCGATCGGGTCCCCTGCTACTTGAAGCAGCATCTCTTCGACAACATCCTCCAAGAGGTAACTGCTGACTGCCGCCTGCTTACTATTGTTTCGCTCACTATTGTTTTTGGTCATCCGCTTTCGTTCGGTTGGTTGACTGGTGTCATGTGCCTGCAAAGTTAGCTTCTTGATGAGACTAGATGATAGTTTTAGGAGTTGGATTGGAGTTACATCCTGAATAAGCAAGACCCTTTCCGTTGATGACAGCCGAATTTCTGGAAAGACCCCGAGACCGCTATAAAGAATGCGTATCGGTCCACGGACAAATTCATTCTTGAGAAGTCGATGCAGTTGGGCCCTGGCGGCTCGACTGCCGTGACTGCAATTGTGATCGATGGCAAAGATTTGTGGGTTGCCAACGTCGGTGATTCCAGAGCAGTGGTCTGCGAGAGGGGCTCTGCCAATCAAATTACAGTCGATCACGAACCGCACACTGAACGGAAAAGGATTGAGGAGCAGGGGGGGTTTGTTACTCTTCTTCCCGGTAAAACTGTCACCTTTCAGATGTTTTGTTACGCTAGTGCCTTCTTCGTGATTCATGAGTCCCGGCAGGTCGACCTGTGGAATGCAGCCCGATGGTTTTTGTACTTAGAACAAGTGTTCTCTTCTAATTTCAGGAGATGTGCCTAGGGTTAATGGACAGCTTGCAGTTGCACGGGCTTTTGGGGATCAAAGCCTCAAAGCACATTTATCTTCGGAGCCTGACATAAGGCATGTACCAATTGATTCGACTATTGAGTTCGTCATATTGGCAAGTGATGGCTTGTGGAAGGTCAGTTCTCTCAGCATGAAAGCTCTCTCTCTCTCTCTCTCTCTCTCTCTCTCTCTCTCTCTCTCTCTCAATCATTATCGTTGTGGCATTTGGTAAATCAGATTGCACATTTGTCCGGGCCACATAGCATAGAGTGCGAGTTGCCTAGTCTGCTGCTATATCATTTATAAGCTAGAGTCATTATTTGTTTGCCTTTTTCTTTTTCTTTTTTCTAAGTTTGATGATTTAGGTGGGGGTGACTGCATTAGTGCATGAAATCAGAATTTAGGTTGTTGGTGGTCGTGGTCCCCCTTGCCATGATCCAAGAGATTTTGAATTTGAGTTCTATCTTTCTACTCCCTCTTGTTACTGATCTAGAAAAAGATAAAACAAACATGAATAGTGCCCTTTAAATTAAACTGTTCGCCAGTTCTCATCACTGGAGGTTTTCCTCACCTTGGATCTATGTATGGCATTCGTCAACTTAGAAAATTGGAGATGCCGCAACAAAATTCCTTCTTATTCCTGTCCTGTATGCGTAGCCTCAAAATATTATCCCGCGAAGCCTGTTTATACTGTCAAATTCATTGTTTCTGCTGTAATACAAGGCGGCTTAAATAGGCAACTTCCTGGAACTGAGCTTAACTGAGTCCTCTCTTTTTAAGTGATGAATCTTATTAAGTAGTGTCCCGATCCTCCTCTGTTTATCATTGGTTCCAACCTGCCCCAGTTCGTCAAGAAAGATTCAGAGTGCTCCATCATTATCTTAAAGAAATCGTCTCGATAAGTAGGCACGCCTGAGATAGCCAGAAGAAACATGAAGTTGTATAGCAATTTGATCAGGTGCTCCTGATCTAAGCAAGTCTACCTCATCCACCCGGATTATTTTTTTTTTAAATTCTTTTGAGTGTACCCTAGTAGAATTTTCTTTGAGAGTTGCCGCTCGAGGTAGCCCCGGTAGGTCAATGATTTTTTCTTGTCAAATCACCTTGGAGATGACCTGAACCTTCGATCCTGTGCTGGAATGCTCATCTGAACAGTTAGCTTTAGATGTCTTAATTGCAATTTTGCTCGGTTGGCAGGTGATCAGTAACCAAGAAGCAGTTGACTTGGTCAAACCGATAAAAGACCCTCAAGCAGCAGCAAAGAGATTAACAAGTGAAGCACTGAGAAGAGAGAGTAAAGATGACATATCTTGCATTGTCATCAGATTCGCTAATGCTGTTGAGAAGCATCCTGATAGAGCCACTCGGTCATTGTGAATATCTCCCGTTCATAAAGAAGTTGAATGTTGATGTGAAAAGTAAAGTTACATGTCAGCGCCATCTGCTTTTAGGGTGCTGTACGTAGTAGTGGCCTTCATTGTATAGGTGTTAGAGCAGATTGAATAATAGTGGTGCAGTTCCTTCTTTATCACGAGCGCCCGAGCCTCCTGGAGCGCCCGCGTAGTTTTAGGATGTGTGAGATCTCATTATTTTACTGTATTGGCGTTTGTATAGTTAGTCCTACCATGTTGATTGTCATGAGGGGTCTAAACTCTAGGGGATTTTGAACCTTGAGATGTCTTTTTACCCAATACCAAGTCTGGCTTGTGATTAAAATTCCTCTTGTTGCATTTGCACTGTCTTCTCCTTTTTGATACTGGGGTTCAAAAGTTCCTCAAAAAGGTTGTCGCCTCGTTACATTGTTTTGCATATTACTTGTTGGCCGGTGTCGATTGAAATGAAGGGGATTCACCATTTTGTTGTTGATCATGTCGCATCTTTAGTGTGCTTCACTCAAATGACATGAATTCTTTGTGCCCCAATGGCTTTGGAAACTGAAGATTACATTCTTAATGAGATTGAAGAACGCAGTTTAAACTGAGGGACTAACCTTGAGGGATTCACTCTTTTGGAGGAAGAGGCGGGAAAAGTGCCAAAAAAGTCCTAAACCTTTTGCATTAATGCCAATTTAGTCTTAAACCTTTTTTTGGTGTCAATTCAGTCCTAAACCTTTTGCATTGGTGCCAATTTAGTCATAAACCTTTTTTTGGTGCCAATTAAGTCCTAAACCTTTTAAATTGGTGCCAATTCAATCCTAAACCTTTTGTTTTTGTGCCAATTTAGTCATTTTGGCCAATTTAGACCGGAATTTGCCTACGTGGACGCCTGCCGGCCGGTCATCGGCGCCGACGTGGACAACTTTAATATTTTTTTAATATTTTTTTGAATTTTTATTTTTTCCTTTTTTTTTCTTTTTTTTTCCACTTTTTTTTTTGGTTGTCTTCCTCCTTCCTCTAGCCGGTCGCCGCTCCGGCGACCGGCCAGAGGCCGGCGAGGACGGCCTCGCCCGGCGAGGGCGAGCCTCGCCTTGGTCCGGGCGAGGCTCGAGCCCTCGCCGGAGGCCGCGGCGAGGCTCGAGCCCTCGCCGGAGGCCGCGGCGAGGCTCGGGCCTCGCCCGACCAAGGCAAGGCTCGAGCCCTCGCCGGAGGCCGCGGCGAGGGCGAGCCTCGCCATGGTCGGGCGAGGCCCGACCTCGCCGGATCTATAGGTCGACGCTCGACCTCGCCGAGATCCGGCGAGGTCGGGCCTCGCCCGACCATGGCGAGGCTCGCCTCGCCGCGGCCTCCGCGAGGGCTCGAGCCTTGCCTTGGTCGGGCGAGGCGGGTCGGGCCTTGCCATGGTCGGGCGAGGCTTGCCCTCGCCGCGCGCCTCCCGGCGAGGGCTCGAGCCTCGCCCAACCAAGGCGAGGCTCGCCCTCGCCGGGCGAGGCCGTCCTCGCCAGTGGCCGGCGAGCTCGAGCTCGCCGGCCCGGCGACCGGCCAGAGGAAGGAGGAAGACAACCAAACAAAAAAATAAAAAATAATAAAAATTCAAAAAAATATTAAAGTTGTCCACGTCGGCGCCGGCCGGTAGGCGTCCACGTAGGCAAATTCCAGTCTAAATTGGCCGGAATGACTAAATTGGCACAAAAACAAAAGGTTTAGGACTGAATTGGCACCAAAAAAAGGTTTATGACTAAATTGGCACCAATGCAAAAGGTTTAAGACTGAATTGGCACCAAAAAAAGGTTTAGAACTAAATTGGCACTAATGCAAAAGGTTTAGGACTTTTTTGGCACTTTTCCCGGGAAGAGGCAGTACGCCTGCAAATTAAAAGCACGACGACTTTTTTGTTGTATTCCTTCCTCGTCGAGATTAGAACTATCTAGAATGGTTGGGTTTGGTCGGGCACTAAAGTTGTAGCTTCCATAACCGGTCTTCAGGACTAGGGGTGAGTATGATTCTAGAGTAGAATCGAGAACTTGATAACCGGACCGGTCCTAGTTTCTAGGGTATGCGTGGTAGGTTTCAGGTTTCAAAAATTGAGAATCTGTTTCGACGGGCAGGTTTCAGGTGGAATCTAAAACTTAAAACAAGTTTTTGTATTTTTCTTGTTTTATGTCTTCGCGAGATTTTACAGCATTCCATGGCGTCCAATGATAAGTATGTAATCTGAAATCACTAGCATAAGCTTTCAATTTCGGCGATATCCATGACTGAAACTTTTACTTTTCTTATATTTCATTTTTTTCGTGTGTCTAAATATGAGTTGTGGTAAGTGGATTGTAGCAAATGGTGATCATTAGAGATGATGATTCACTGCAATTATTCGATTAAGAATACAGGGGATTTCTAGGTAGACCTTGGAACCTGTGACGGGTAGATTTCAGGTTTCTGGGTATGTAAGTTATGTTCAAGTTCTAAAAATCAGGGAACTTATTTCGACGTGTAGGTTTTGAACTGAACTTGAAACCGTTCACCCTTGTTTAGGACTAACTCCCAAATAAAGGAGCAAGAGATTAGAAACCGAAAAACCAAGATCTAAACAAAAAAAATTTCAATCGAAGAACTGCTTGCACAATGCAAGACGCAAATCAAACGGCAAACAAGAGAGACGTTAAAAATCATTCACATAGATTTGTGTAGAAGTTGAGTGATTTGAGGATTGAATACAATTCATTAGCTGTAAAAGTATGAGGGAAAGGAAAAAAACCCAACCCAAAACTCGGATTGATGCAAGCAGCGGCCTTCATCAACTAGCTTCCCATGCCCGATTAGCGGCCTCAAGTAAATAGAATGGGGGAAGAAATGGAATAGAGGTAGGAACAGAAAGGAAAGAGGTAGGTCTGAACCCCGATTCCGTTCGAACCCCATTCCGCGCACCAAACGTGGCCGAAATGTTCTTAAGCTATTCGACAGGAATTTCGTTGAATTGTGGTTAAATAGTTGCTAATTGGGGATGCTGCGTTGCATCAGTACATATGGCATGTTGGAGAAACATCCATTGCCTTGTTCTCCTCTGAATCAAAGAAAGGAAAGAATGTAACGGTACAAAAAGAGGAGGTAGACATGGAAAGAATTGAGAAAGAATGGTGTTCTCTACAAATTTGGCTCGGCAGTGATGGCAAGTCGCGCTATTCACAACGAACAAGGACAACTAAGTGGTCGAGGATTCCGTCGAAGACCGAGAGTAAGCGGGACGGGCCGAGCACACGACCAGAGCTCTTTCTAATCTATATACAATTTCTGTGATTGTGGGGCGATTTTTGCCTTCCAAATGCACGCAATCCGCAGCTAAGTATCCTACAGACATCACAGCTTGTATTTCAAAAGGGTTTGGGGGCAAGACCTTCGGGTCTAGGACCCTGTGAATCTCGTCTCGCAATATGTAGGGAATCACAAAGTCCACCACGTTCCTCGGCACGCCGTTGTCGTTGTTGTGAATAGCCCTGTACCCCGATAATAACTCGAGCAGAACGACCCCGAAGCTGTACACGTCGCTTTTGGACGTGAGGATTTGTAGTCGATAGTACTCGGGATCCACATAGCCAAGTGTTCCTGCAGCGTGGAGAGAGAGGTGGGACTCGTCGTCTTCGGGGCCCATAAGAGAGAGCCCGAAATCGGAAACCTTAGCCATCCAGCTTTTGTCGAGCAAAATGTTGGAAGACTTGATGTCGCGGTGGATGACGGGGGGAGATGCGTAGACATGAAGGTACTCGATGCCCCTAGCCGCGTCCAAGGCTACTCCGAGACGCGCCGCCCACGAATTGAGTGGGGAATCTGGAAACTTGTGGAGATGGTCGTGGAGCGTACCGTTGTGCATGTACTCGTAGACCAATATCAACTCGTTGCCGTCTTCGCAGAATCCAGATAGCTTGACGAGATTCTTGTGGTTGAGGCGGGACAGAGACTCGAGCTCGTTGAGAAATGCCCTGTCTATGTCTTCGTTTTGCCTCCTGGCGCTTGGGCCGCCACCGCCTAAATTTGACGGCGATGCTGCTGTCGATGTTTCGGCTCGCTTGATGGCCACTTCTCGTCCATCGTCCAATGTCGCACGGTAGACCGAGCCGAAGCTTCCCGTCCCGATCTTGAACTCTTCGGCGAATCCATTGGTGACACAGGCGAGCACTTGCAAGGGGAATTCCTCCAGTTGGGAGTCCATGCTGACCAAATGGCTCAGCCGCCTCTCCAGTGGCCGAGGCTGTGGCGGCGGGTCCGTAGTTTGATCCGGGCTCGAGGTCTCTTCGATGCGGCCCGAATCGTGGACGCGGCACACCCTCCCCTTGCAGTATCTGAACAGCCAGAAACCGAAGATCGACAGCAAGCAAGCGCATCCCACGCATCCCACCACCAGGAACCCCACCAGTTTCCTATTTAAGCTCTTAGGCTGAACAATTGGGGTTGGAGCTTGGCAAGGTTGACACACATATCCTTGCTCGCACAAGTCCCCGTAGCGCTGCAAAGGGCCGCAAGGACAGTAGCTCCGGCACGGGCCGGGCAGCACGTTATCAAACACCATGGAACCGGGCCTGGAGTCGAAGTGCTCATTGCCCCAACAGCACAAGGAATAGTTGGCGGCCAAGACTCCGCAAAAAACGCTGCGCTTGGCTTCGATGGCTGTGAAGTATGCGTCTCGCAAGTGGTTCGGCAAGCTGAAATTGCTCCGCCCCCAGCACACGACTGTGCTGTTCGTCCGCAGTGCGCAGCCCCTGTTCTCTCCCAGGGCCACCGACAAGAAGCCCCCTTGCGGCGGCTCGATCTCGTCCGCCCCATCTCCCCAGCACTCCAGACTGTTATCCACCGAGGAGATGGCGCAGGCGTGCCCAGACCCGGCCGCAACCGCCCTGAAGCTCCCGTTCGGCGGCTTAGGCACGACGCGGGCATTGTCCCCGAAGCACTCGACTTTCCCTGCGGCCTGACGGGCGCCCGTCAGGCCGCATGCAAAATCCCCGCCCACCGCAACACTGGACCAGTTGTTCGGCACCATGGTCCGATGGAGTCGGGGCCACTGCCACTGCCAGCACTCGATCCGGCTAGTCTCGTTGACGAGACCACACACGTGAGCATCTCCGGAATCGAGCTCCGTCAAGAGAGGACCCTTGTAGATGCGCTTGTATGTCATGTCGGTGCCATTGGCGGCGGAGAATCTCCAGCAAACCAGGACCGACGTCGACGAAAAGAAACCACCTCTCAAGCCGCACAGGAATCCGTCCCCGCCGACGATGCCCGCGAAGGAAGCATTGCGATTGACAGGAATTTGAATTCCCGCCGGGAAGCTGGTACAGTTGAGAAACAGGCTCCCGCCGGGAGGCTTTATAAGAGCACAGACCAACGTCTGGTTCGCGGTTCCGGAAATCGACACGGTCGAGAGCGAGACGACCGGCGAAGCGAACGGCACCGCGAAGAAGACGACGATCAAGCCGAGCAGGGAGCGGAGTTTCCTGAGCAAGTGAGCCATAGGAAATGGTGCGACAAGCTTGATAATCTCATGTTGGGGGTCGTATTACAGGTGGGTTTGTGTCTCTCGCTCTCTCTCTCTCTGCTTATCTAGCAGCTGAATGTTTCTTTATGTGCAAGCTCTTTCAGGAGAACGGGCACGCCATGACAGTGAAGGGGAAGGGGAGAAACGCGGTTTGAAAAGCGAAGGAGGAGAGCGAGAGCGAGGAGGAGGAGGCACAGCGACCAAGAAGACCAAGTCGTTCTGCGGAAATTATTTTGCAAGTCGAGCGTGTGGTCAACCCTTGGAAAAGTTGCCGCGAGCAAAGACCGGTCCAAGTTTCAACAATTTCCAAAACGAAGTCCACTTTTCTGCAAAGGAGGGAGAGCGGGGGGGCTGAAGCTGATCCTCGCCCCTTTGAATTGGCCCGGTTCGGGACCCAATCACGTCGAATCTCTCTAGCCCCGTTGAAAAAAGGAAATTTTAAGGTAATTACAGCTGCCCTTTGAACTGCCACGCTGCGTGCATCGCTAACCGCACGTTCTTCTTGGTTAGAACCTTCGGCAAAAACGCCTCTGCCCCGTTTTGGGACTTTTCTTCTTCTTCTTTCTTCTTCTTTCTTCTTCTCACGGCGACTCTCTACGCTGTGGAAACTTGCGACCCGTGACCTTGACTTGAATTTGATCTCACACTCCTTCATCTTTGCTAAATTAAGTTTAGGGTTAATACTACGAAAAACCCTAAACTGATACACCTGCGATAAATTTATCCTCCGTTAGTTTCCGTTAAATTGGATTGATGCCACGAAAAATCACAAACCGGTACACCCGCGACGAACGGAAGGTAAAACTCCAAATCGATATACCCGTCAACTATCACGTGTCAAGCAACTTAGCAATTTGAAGATAAAATTTAACAAAAACTGACTGATGGTAAATTTGTCACAGTTGTACCGATTTAGAGTTTTTGGTAGTCAACAAATTAGTTCGGGTAAATTTGTCACGGGTGTACCGATTTAGAGTTTTTGGTAGTCAACAAATTAGTTTGGGTAAATTTATCATGGGTGTACCAATCTGGAGTTTTTCGTGGTATTAACCCTTGAGTTAATTACCCAATGGCACCAAACAAAAGTTATGCCCAGCTATTCCCATAAATCGGGTAACAAAGGGGGAATGAGGAATCGAACCCGATTTAGAGTGGATCGCGTATCCATTTAGTTCAAGAATTTGAACCCGATTCCCGTCCGTTGATGAATCCGCCTAGATTTATTTCACGCGGGGAGGAGTTACAAGGGCAGAGGGAATAAGAAATTGTCGTGCGTGCACATGAAACTATATATTATCCAGATTGGCAATGCAGATGGATTGTTGTCAATCAATATACAGTCAGGAGGCTGCTATCCTAGAAGTGAGCTTTAGACTATTTCATTCTATATTGAGACACGGGCTCACGCGGACTCATTGACGATTGTTTTTGTTCTCATTGGATTATGGGAACGCATTGCACGCGTTTTATGCACTTTTATCATCATCCAGCATGTCAATGTGTGCCACGCTCTAAATTTTCCAGTCCCGTTCACAAACCTGCAGCAAAAGTTATGCCCTCGTGACACATTTTGCAGAACCGGATCGAGTGGAATCGAATCGGCAATTCCATGCGAAAATTAGAGGCACTGGAATGGACCTGAATTTCATTGAAAGTACTGCCAACCGAACATCAAAACAGCTTCATTCGTCTCGACTTCATCAAAGAGGTAAAATTGCCATCATTCGGACGTGTCATCGCGGATTGGATGATCCGGCGGGTCTCAGCATCATCATCTCGGTTGACCATACCCAGATCGGATTACGTTTGGCATCATGTAAAGATTAAACCAAAGAGAAATCTCATAAAGGACCGACTAAACAAGCACTTGTCCGAGACTTATCTCCAATTAAGTTAAGAGCACACATTTATTTGACGCCCCTGGCTATGTAATGAATTTCCACTAAACAAGCACTTGTCCAGGCCAGGTTCGACTCCCACCTCTCGGGTGTTGGGACCAAGGATACATACGCCCCTCATACTCGGCTTGGTGCATTCCTAGCCAAGAATAAGTTGCGCTATAGTCTTTATTCATCAGAAAGATTGACATGTGAAATGTGAACTACCATAAGAGCATGTGATTTGGTAACACAACCAAAGATATGCTCCTCCTGAATTGGCTTTCCATGTTTTAGTCAGTTGACAAACTCTACCCCTGTCAAAGGTGTCCCAGCATGAAGTTGAAGAGCCACATCGCCAACTACCTGCATAAACCAATAGAACAATCATTTGACTGGAAATCCGCAGGGTAACATGTCATCACAAGGTAGCCGCAAGAAGTAGGATAAACAAAATGATAAATGAGTAGACAGTGGTCCAAAGAGTGAAATAAGATTTGGATTGATGGACTTCCACCATCATATTAACATGCAAGACTAGATCAGGAAAAAACTGCTATGTCATTTGATCTGTTCTGCCTCAATTAAGTATGGAGCCCTAGTCTCGATTCCTGATTACAACAATTTATCTTAAGTCAGTCCTGATGCTTCACATTAACGGTGCCGTGGTAGGCTATTCAAGCTACTTTGTTGTCTAAACTCAAGAAAAGTGCTGCTTTCAGCCCTGTTTGGTTTCTGGAGATCGCCAATTTACTTTCATTCTGATTTGAGAACTAAAACAGTTCAGAAGATGCATGAAAGCAATTTAAAAACAATTTTCAACTACAAACAAAGAAATCAGCTATCAAATTTAAATATGCAAGGATGATGATTTGGTTGTTCTCCGTACACTAGATTTTTTACGCTTGACCAAGAAAAGACAGAACACTAACCCATCCATACCACAGCCTACAATTTTCACGAAAAATGAATAGGAGGAATATAACATCTTCGTGATCGCTTAGAATAACCTAGTAGATTAATGTGGACAAAGAATTTGTTATACTTCTACCCTCCCACTGAAACATGCAAACACTTACCCTATGTTTGGGAACAAGGGCTACAGGATTTAAAATTTCCCTCCAAATCCATCTCAAAATTAAATTCCTTCCAATTTTCACCCAAATTTTCTTCACCTCCATTTTCGCTCTTTTCTAAACAAAGCCTTAGGAAAAAACAAAAGAGAGGAATGTAACCCTTGTGTGTGTGTGTGTGTGTGTGTGGGTGGGGGGGGGGACCCCTTTAAGAGTTTAAAGAACTCCAGCATATTTTGTAGGGTCCACAAACCTTAGCCATGGATCTGTAAGAATGTTCTGTGATCCCTGCAACATGAGGAGTTAAAAGAACATTTTTGTATTTCAAGATTTTGTCATTCGGATCAAATGGCTCTGTCCAAGCCACATCGGTGCCCAAGCCTCCCAAGTGACCAGACTCCAGGTGATGAGCAACGGCCTCATAATCCAAGAGACCCCCTCGAGCAATATTTATAAGAAGAGCTCCCTGTATCACCATCGGAAAATAGTTAAAACTCTTACCCGTAATGCAATCTGCCTACTTGACATGCCACAGAGATCTCATTTTCGCATCCTTTATTTCCAAAATGTTAAAAGAGACAGATGTGGAAAAGAAAAGGAATCACAAATACTGTGGTGTGCCACTTTCTCATCAGAACTTTCCTATTATAGGTTCTCCATTTGCAGCCAGTCTTTTTTCTCCATAAAATATTTATCTGTGAGCTTAGGAGCAAAAATACAGGAGAAATACGAGAAAAGGAATAATGACAAAGCTTGCATTTAAAGGATGAGTAAAGGACATGGCATGAGTCATAATTAAGCATCCGTGATCCTTGAATAGGATGAGTCCACCTCAAGCAAATAAGACTGTACATTTCAAAATACACTTGTGTGATATTTAGTGATGCAACAAAGCAGAATACATCTGTCAACCGCCCAACCCAATTTTCAAGTGGACCACAACGCGTTAACCGCTTCACTAAGAGGTTAGTTTCATAATATCTGTTTTAGAACCCCAGACAGATCAACGGCTAAGGTTACATGAAGGGCAGAAGGAGTATCATTACTACCATCAATGGCACCTGTAAAACATAGAGAAGGATCTAGACTTCTCATTAAGGCTACTGAAGAGGATGAATGGGGATCAGAGAACCAGTCACGAGTGTTAAGAAAAAACTAGTACGGCCAAAGAATAGAGCAGAACTTCGTATCTGTAGCATAAAACATCATTTAGGGATACATAGAGCAGACCTTTCTCATTGAAGATATGAATGAGTCATTGATGATGCCAGCCTGCCAGATAATCAAAATGAACTAATAAGAATCCAGAAGACATTTCCGAGTGAGAAGTGAATAATGACAAAGGAACAAAAGCAAAAAAAAGGGAAAAAAAACATTTCAAGGCAACATATTTCCAAAAAGGAGCACCTGTAAAGTATGATCATATTCATTCAAAAACATCAGTAATGTATGGCTCAGGGAAAGAAGAAAAAATGGCACATGTCACCTTTTCTCACTTTTCAACCAATCTGAATAAAGCAACCTAAGAAGCTTTCAAACTAGATAAAGAACTCAGACAAATAGAAGTAACTAAGCCACAAACTACCCTGAATCTACGCTTTCAAAAAGTTCTTCCTGTAAAAGCAAAGACTACTATCGATTTAATTTTTGCTTTTCCTTGTGCAGTCAGAATGCATTCTTGCAAAATCAGTTCCATGGGACAACGGATTTGATTTGGATAAACCAATGAAGCAAAGTATAAATGCATGGAGTCAAATAAGTCTTACTGTATCTTTGTTTAAACACAAGCAACAGACAACTATGTCTGCCTCGCCAGCAAAGTTACAAATGTCGTTATGACTTCCCTTCACATCAACCAGATCGTCACTCATGCCATTTTTATCAAGGTCTGCTGAGAATGTAGCCAATATTGTATGTCAGGAGAATGTAAAGAAAAATTTCCTCATTTTGAATGACAATACATTACCATTCGATTGGAGAGGAGCTTGTGAATTTAAGCACCAGCTCCTTCTTGTGGCAATAATTTTCACCCCAAAAGGTCTTAAGCGCTTAGCCAAGTCAACTCCAATATTTCCAAACCCCGCAATCAATACCTACAACGGACATGATATTTTTCAATGATACTTACAATGCAAAGAGTAAAGGATAAACAACGGACATTCATGAAACATGAAAGAGGCTCAACAATGATTCTTGTTGTGTATTCAACAACTAAAACATAAAAGATACTCA